AAATTGAGATTGCATTTAAAAAAAAGATTAGATTTAATATGACACTTTAACATTGATGTGATTACATTTTTAAAAATAACTTTTTTTATATCTCATATTTAAACGTCACACGAGTGATCATTAGAAAAGTATCAGTTGTGCGTGTTGGTGAAAACGATAAATTAATAATAACGATATTTGAATAATTACGTATATTTTCCAATAAATATAATTATCTATTTTTATGTAATACAAATAAATTATATAAGAGAATGTAGATTTCAGTCGAATACATATATATATATATACACACACAGACATATTTGTTTAATTTTTGTATCAAATTTATCAGATATTTCGATGTAATGGCAGTACAAACACAGTAGGCCGACAGTCGAATATATATACATACACACACATACAGGCACAGAGATGTATTTGTTCGATTTTTTTAATCAAATTTATCAGATATTTCAATATAAATGACGATAACAAACATATATAGACAAATACTTTTAAAGCACAGTTATTAGTTTAATTTTCCTAATCATATAGAAAATTCTATACGATATGTTTCTTTTGAGATAGTGGGCCGATCCAAAATCGTTCAAAGTCCAGTTTCATAAGTGGACGCGAAAGACATTGTAACAATACAAAAAGACAAGGAAAAGAGATAGCAATAATGAATTTACTGATAGCGCTACCGATGTCGAGCCAACTACCATATGGCGTGACACAATACATCAAAGGCAAAGACAAACAATCGCCTAAAAAGAGAACAGCTAAAGAGTTTGACTTTTTACACTCTTCCAATTCTAAAGAGAAGCTCACACATCCCACTAATATTAAAGGAATGCTAAGTTTAAGAAGTATCAAGGACATCATTAGAAATGGGGAAAAGACGGTGATAAAGTGACGCGTCCAAGACGGATCGAATGAACTGATGCTCGCCATATTTCCCGTGCCGAAGAAGCACAATAATACGTATAACATCTATAATAAGATGTTAAGGATATATATAAGTAATAATAGTTGTCTATTATATGTATAAATCAAGAGAGGACTGTTATCAAATTAATTCCTTAACGCTCTAATCTAATTATCTTTAATTAATTTAAATATCACTCTTTTATTACAAAAACTTATACTATGGTATTTAAAAAATTTTTCTGAAAAATGATAAAAGGATACGAAAAACGCTGCTTTGATCAAGTCTTCTGTGATATTTCGCTCTCCTAAGATCTTTGAGGTAGTTGAAGTAGCTTCCAACCAGGAAATTAAATTGAGTGTAAGAGTCATGAAGAAGATCGGCTCATAAGAAGTCGACAACAACGTAAGAGAACAGAAAAATGCGAGCATTACGCCCAGCATTCTTTTTTTGCTCTCTACTGGATGACACCAAATGCTTAATGGTGCAGTCAGCAGAATAATCCATGATATCCAATATCGACCATCAATAAACTCCATATATACAAGACTTGTGATGACTAGACGTACAATTTCCATTATTCTTCGACTTTGTGACATCTCATTAATAATCACTATCGCTATTGCTATACATACGCCAATTATCCTGAAATTGATAAAGAAGATTAAAAGAATTAAGTCAATAAAAAAATTTGTATACAAAATTCCTATATGTGTGTGTCTTATGTATTCTTTTCCAATATTATTAATTAAAAGAAAGAAAAAAAGATAATTGTTTTTTATCGATCTGATCGATATTCCTACATTATTTAAAATAATTTTAAATTGCTGACTTGATTACATTTGCGAGATAAACTTACACAATATAAGTGCGTGGATATGGCTCAACGACAGGCAGTAATGGAAATACACATAGTGCAATCGAAGTCCAAATCATAGAAGTTGGTACATCTTCTGACTTTATTGCTCGTATCAATAAGAATAATAGTATTCCTATGCTGAAAGCAAATCTATATGTTAATCCAGCAAATATCAGCACTAGTAGTAACAGAGTGCCTCCAATATCTATGATTAGCGTTTGTGTACTCGTTTCTGCAAATACAGGCGTCGATGTAATGTAAGTAGTAACGGCAAGCCATGCAGATATTATAGCAAAGAATGCATAGCATGGTAATCTCCAGTTGTTGCAATTGGACACTGTAAATAAAAGTTAATGCATAAATGAAATGTCCATTTTTCAAATAAAATCACTGATTTACTTAATACATTTTGTTTGGAAATTATTACTCACTTATATGTACAATTAACATTATTATTAATAAACATGGAAATCCAACGTTTACTAATCGCAGAAGAAAAATTCGCGAATATTGACGCTTTGCTCCAGCCATTTTGAAGAACAATATAACTATCCAGCTAAGCCACATTATTGACAAATATATTAAAAATCGTATACGTTGATATTGTCTGAAGTGCAACAAGGCTTCCTTGCTAGAACTAATTGCATCATTGCCCTCTCGAATTCCTGCCATTATATTTCTTTTACTGATATGTTGTTGGGCTTTACGAATTTTATCATTTATTTGCGTTTCTCGCCAATCAGTATGGTCACTATCTTGACAACTTATCACACGATTTTCTGTTATTTGATGCATTAGTTGTTTCACATTGCTGATTAAAGAACGTGCGACGTATTCACGATAATCTAAATCAAAATACTGCCATGGTAATGCACCCTAAAAAAGTATTTTACGAATAAATATTTTATACAATATATGGTCATATATACTGATCTTAATATGATACATAAATACTTACTTCATTATTTATAGGAATAGGAATTCCTATTAGGGACGCTATTAAGGGAGTTATACTCGCTTGTTCAACGTCTTGACGAAAGCCAGACGATTTTACTCCTGCTCCCCAAGTGATTAACGGCGTTTCAGTTTCAGAAGGCAAACCACTTCCGTGAGATCCCCAATCAGTCATTCCGTGATCTGATGTGAATATATAAGCGGTGGTACCCTTTCCAAAAAAGTCTTCTGTTGCATTCACAGCCTCTTCAATCCTCTTATCGACATAGTTCATGTTGTCCACATACTCTCTAATCTCAAAATTTTCTTTTTAATAATTCTGTACTTTGAAAAAAAAAGTAATCAACAACAATAATCTGAAATAACTCGGATACCTGGAATTTGGTTTTTTAGTATGCCCCAGAGTGTCACATCCAAGCAGATGAAAGAATAGGATGATTCCATTTTGATTTCTGACTTCCTTGGTTACTGAAGACTGTAGCCATTTCAAATAAGCATCAAACACCCAGGAGTCCAGACGTCTTGTTTGATTACTCAATTTTGTATCAAAATCCTGCCACGCAGATGGATAACTTTGTCCATAAACATTGTGTTTACTACCTAACTTTTCAAAATTTCAAAATAAGCGTGAGAAATAATGAATATCGATGTTGTTGCATTTTTTAGAATACCTTTTGTGAACATTGGTATTATATCTGGACTGCCCCAAGCCCAAGTTGCATGACTTTGATTGAAGACAGAATCAAAGTCCACTGGATTCTCCTGCCATCCTTTGAAAATGGCACTAGGATCTTCATATAATCCTGCAGCAATTGCAACATGTCCTGGTCTTGATTCAGTAGGCACTCTTGTGTGAGATATTCCCCAAACACCCCTATTCTTCATTGTTTCCCTAAAAAAATAAATATTTATTTTATCTAATAAAATAAAATGAATATTGAAGCAAAAAAAAATACAATAAATCAATTTTCTTATTAATATTACAATATATAATGTAATTAATATACAATAAATATAAATAATTGTATGTTAATATATAATATATTAATATCTTTATTATAGATTAATTCAACTTTTATTCTTTTTCAAACAAAAACATTAATTAAATAAAATTAAATGAAATTACATAAAACAGCAGGACTTTGTTGTTTTTTTTTAATAATAAACAAATGTAAAAAGAAGTTCCATAAAACCTGAGATAAGGTGGTGGCTTCTCTATGAATGTCTGAAATCTCAGACCATCAGCCACGAAAAGCAGCAGCCTTTTAGCCGGTGCTCCATTAGGCGCCGGTACAATTGGCATTCCTCTAATAATAGGTGAATGAAAGTTAACATCTAATACACCCCATAATAGAATTAAATGCATGGTTAACCCCCACAGAGCAAACAGATAATTGTTGCTCATTTCGAGCCATTGTTTCTTGTGAAACTTTCCTGTTCTTTTAGACAATTCACTTTCTGCGATATCTAACTTTTTCCTTTTCATAAACATCTTTAACAATTTTAAGATTTGTAAGATTGAGGTATACTCGAGATTTGACACAACACAGTGTATGTCATACTACGTTAGCAGAAATATACTGACGAAGAAATATACTAATCGATTTGAAATATCGAACGAAAGTATTAAATTTGTATTAGTCATGCTTTGTACTCCATACATCTTACGTGGCTCTCTTTAGCTTTCTTTTTCTACATATACATATCATACATATATACATATATATATGTATGCATGGATACATACATATATTATGCAATAGCAAAAATAGCAATACAAATCCACAACATATATTGTCGGCAATAATTTGCCGACTGTTAATATTTAGCACTATATAATAAAATATAAACAAATATAGTATTGGAAAAAGAATATAATGTGATCGAATAAAACATAACGCTTATCTTTTGATTATATTTTTATTTTTTCTAAATTAAAAAAACTAAAATTTTTTAATGTTTAACATACGTACTCAATTGGTACGTTATTGATTGTCGGTGATTATCAACCTCTTTATTACCGACAAAAATTTTATTAAAAACTGCAAATTATTTAAATATTGCAATTATAAAAACTGTAATTTTATTTAAATGTTTATTACTTATTCATGCAATAACAAATAAATTATATTGAATTTATAATAGACACGGATTAATTATATAAAAATTAATAATAAAGCAATATGGAAAAAGCTAAAGAATGTAACATAAATTTTTTGTGTAAATTTTATTATCACACATATCTACATTTAAAAATGATTTATATATACATAAGCAGAAATAGTTATTTTTACAGAAAAAGTGTATCTAAATCTTAGTTCAGGTCTAGCACTGTTATCACAATCTAAAAAGATTGCAATACACAATGTAGATTGCAATACAAAACGTTTGTTATGTACAGCTCAATGTTACGAATGCAGATTATTTTAACTAAGTACCAATGGCAAACATCTATATTTTCAAATAGGTATGTATCACGTACATCTCAAAGAGAAGTATAAAATATATATTGCTTAACTAAGCTTGTCTCCTTTCAATTCTTTGTTATAATAAACTATAGCACGCTCTATCAACGATGTGTTCTCACTTCCTAGGTTTGTTTCTGTTGAATTTTTGCTATTTTTATTACAATTCTTCCTCATGTCATCTTCTAAATTATTACTACTATTATTTATTGGCCGTAAAACTAGCTCAGGTAATTTATGCTTCGTATGTTTTGCTAATTCATGGATTGCACTCTGCAAATAGTGAATTTGTGCTTCTTGTTGTAATGAAACATTATGTAACGCTTGGATGTCATCCGTAAACTTCTGTATTTGCATCTGACGGATCTCCTCTTTCTTCGCTTCTTTTGTAACTTGCCTGTTGTACTCCAATATCACACATGCTCCAGCTACACCGAAGATAATCAACTCACCTATTAGACCAGCACCCAATTCGATTGCCATTGCCTCATTCAACTTGGCAACCTTTGTAGGCTTACCGAGATTCATAACATACATTTTTGCTTTTACTTCAGCCCAATGATAAACTATGAATATACAAAACAATTATGATTACATCTGTAATTTATGGAAAAAGGATATTTATTTTCTTTATTTTAATTCCTTTTATTCGCTATACATTACACTTTTCGAATGACCGGTCTTATACAAAGAGTTCGAGAACCTTCTAGAATGTTCCATGCCTATAATTTCTGGTAATTTGCGGTAACATGGCCTTTCCACTTTCGTCTGGCTGTACTCCAAGTCTTATAAAATATATCTTGGTGTGATTTTGGAGTAATGGACATTCTCGTAATTCGATAAAATTCGGAGTTAAGCTTAATACTGGATTCGAGGTAATTTAATTGATTCTATAATTTCGGAGTAAATAATTTATTTCATAAACGAAATCGGAGCACTGATAGCGTGGAAAGAACGTGGCAAGTTACCGGGAATTGTTGATACGGAACATTCTAGAACGTTTCCGAATTCTTTGAATAAGATTGGTCGTTCGGAAAGTATAACGTACAGTGAATAAAAGAGATTAAACTGAAGGAAACAATATTGCTTCTTTCCTATAAACTTCTCCTAAAATTAAAATTTTCCGTACCCTACTAGGAATATCCTTTTTCCATAAATTACACATCTTACAACAGTAAACTTGTATGTCACATGAGAAACATAAAAGTATACTCACACTGGGCGGGTGGTATGATGAAGTAAGTTCTGAAAATAGGACGACTCTTTGCTTGATTGACAAGAAATTTGGCTAAAGGTTTACTGATCTGTTTGACAAATAGTACACCCAATTTAAGGGCTGGAAATACCCCGACTGGCATTTTTACCGATTAATGTTGCAGCACCTTCTCATCTGTTTTTTCTATATCCTAAAAATTTTTGCCATATCTATATACACATATGTATAACGTATATGTAATACACATAAAATGACAGACTCGTCATTTTTTATTATAAAGAATGTATTAAATGATATGCAAGACATGATAGATTTGTAGTTCAACGATTTGATCTCATCTTACCTTGATGAGATCTTATTTATTTTAGAATACGTTAACGCGATAGTATCATAAGTGACATAACTGATATCATGACAGAGATTGTACGTTGCTGCAAAGCATGTATTTTTATATATTTTTCCGTCAGCAGATATCTTCCATGCCGAACGTAAACTCCATTAGCACTGTGGATTAACGTGGATTTCTGCGAATAATAACAGATCCCTTCTTCATCAAGGTAAACAGGTGAATCAGCCAATGGCGGTGTAAAATGCTAAAGCAGTGTATATACATTAGCTGCATTCAGCAGACTCAACAGTTTTGCAACCGTTTTATGATTGTGCTGCTGAGATAGGACCATTCTTCTAGATCTAAAAGTATGATCTAATCAGCTCGAAGGAAACTTCCAACAGTTGCAAAACGAACGTTCTGCTGAACGCAGCCATTGCGCTTGCAAAATCATTTTAAGTCCGGATCCACAATAGTTGTTTTAAGCCTTAAGCCGTAAGAATTTGACCAATTACAGTCGAATTCGAGGAAAATAATTGACTATGGCTGCGTTCAGCAGAACGTTCGTTTTGCAACTGTTGGAAGTTTCCTTCGCGCTAATTGGATCATACTTTTAGATCTAGAAGAATGGTCCTATCTCAGCAGACAATCATAAAACGGTTGCAAAACTGTTGAGTCTGCTGAACGCAGCTAGTGATTCGTCAATTTCTTATGGCTTAAGCACAGTATACAGTAGCGCAACTCTCTGTCGGCACTTTTGATGTTGGTGAAGCCAAAATCGTAGCGCGCATGCGCAAGTTGAGACATTACATACGGTAACGCCATCTAGACTTCTCTCTCACTTACTCTCTTAGGCTGTCGCACCTACCTTCCGTAACAGTAACCATCTTTGACTATATACTTAGGGTGCTTTCCAGCAAGGACATAGGCTGCGTTCAGCAGACTCAACAGTTTTGCAACCGTTTTTCGCAGCCATAGTCAGACACTGTGTAACACGTGAGTCGTTTCATCCTTGTTATTTGCCAACGTTAAACAAGGATGAAACGACTCACTGTGTTACACAGTGTCTGACTATGTCCTTGCTGGAAAGCACCCTTATATAGTCAAAGGTAACCATAAGACGTACCGTAAGAATAAGCCAATCACAGTCGAGAATTCTTTTGAACTTTTAATTCTGATTGACTGATTCTTGCGTTATGTCTTATGTTACTGTAATATTAAAAAATTGAAAATATTTGTATAATATATGGTATACCTATCATATTTTTTAGGAAATTTAAATACATGTCTTCCTTCTAATTCAAGATTTCCAGGACATCCATTTATTGAACAATATTTAATTTTTTTTCTACTCATTTTTTTGATGTGTAATCTATTTTATTTTATATCTGAAACAGAGCTAAGATCAAAGTGTTTTCTGCAAGAGAATTGAAAATCTGTACGATACATATGTAGTACAGATCTACAATTCTCTTTAAAGATAATTGTCACTTCCTTTATTCTTTTCACTCTATTTCACTTCACTGCACTTCACTTCACAATAATCCACTTCACTTTACTTTTTTTCACTTCACTATTAATATCTAAAACAATTTGCAAGACATCACCGACATAAAAGCATACGAACTTAATATTGCCGTTGCCGCCAATTGTTACACAAGCACTGCAACGGTTAAGAGAAAGACCGAAAACACAAAGAATAAGTAAGAGAAAAGTTCAGATGACGTTACCGTAATGTCTCAACTTACGCATGCGCGCTACGATTTTGGTTTCACATTATGAATAGAGTTGCGCTACTGTATATTGTGACTTAAGACTTAGAACTGCTTAGAACTCTATTGTAGATCCGGGGTAAAGCCTACGGCACACGATGCTTGTTTTCCTAGCTAGGTTAGAATCTTACCATCGTATTGGCTGCGGTACCGATAGTGTCAGCATCGTAGCCAATATGGTGGCAAGAATTTATTCTAGCTAGCAATCCAGCAAGAAAACAAGCATCGTGCCGCCGGCTTTAAAGCCGAAAGAATGGTAGCGATAGCCAATCAGAAACTGTAACATCAATTAAAGCCGGAAACACAATGGGTGCATTCAGTACTACGACCGCTCACTGAGCGCTCAGTAAGCTCTTGTATCTGTTTGGTCTATATTTTTAGTTCTAACGGAATATGCCAAGATGCAAGAGCTCATTGGTCGCGTTCAGCAGACTCAACTGTTGCGGAGCGGATCAATGAGCTCTCGCTGCTATTGGATGATCTAAAAGAATACACCAATAGCAGTGAGCGCTCACGGATCCGCTCCACA